AGTACTTATTTTTTACCGAGTACGGTTTTGGCATGCAGCCGGAAAGACGTTCGTTCGAAAGCCGGCATCTTGAGGGAACCGAGTTGTTATAGAATTACGCTGCGCGATGATCAGTTTTGCAATCCTGCACAATTAATCTTTTCGAAACGAAAATGCATTTCCGAATTTTGGCTGAAAATTCATGAGTTAGCCCACTCACTGTACTTTTTCGTTCGAATTAATGGTTGCGTCAAGACGCAGATGGCGAGAATGGTGTATGATTAAGAAAGCTGCACTTACAATTAATATACTTACCTCCAAATATAAACTAGTGACGTGTCTGAAAACAATTCTTCAGAGAAATATGACTGCAATGCGGTCTAACACATCTCTTGCATAGAGGGTAAGAACATGAAAACAACTATAACCCAGGTTTAAAACTAACTGAACTAACGGTTTCTGGGAGGCAACTAGGATGTTGTGACAAAAAGGAATGCATTCCTAAACACTATGAGCAACATAGGCATAACAGCACTTAGCAAACGTGCCTTCAATGTCAGGAGTGTGGCAACGATACTACCAAGGCGGTTTATCTTTAGTATCCGAGAAAAAGTGACATTAGGGGAATCTTTGAGCTTAGATGAGCCATACTAATCAAAGTCACCATCGGCTGGTGAAGTGGACAAATACAGCAGGAATTCTGAGAGAGGAGATCCAACTTTCTGAGTCTTAAAGCGAAATAAATCTAGGAAAAAGCTGCCTCCAACCTACACGTTCGTCCCTAGCCCTCAACTAGTTTGAGCAGGTCAAATGGAATACTACTGTTCTGAAGCATTTCCCATTGCACATTTTTGCCTACTACCAGTCGACTAACATATTACCGACATTTAAAGTTGCAGTTTCCTTCGGTCTCCTCAGTCCCAAACGAAAGGTCGAGGCATCCAGTCACTTTCAGTTGGAAAACTCCTAAGCGCTGGCACAATACCCATTGAGATCATTATAAAGGGTGACTTTCAACTTTTTGACGCCCTAGTTCTTCGGTTTCAGAATATTTAGAGTTAAGACATTACGGCTAGATACGGAAATAAGGACCATCCCCCAAATGCAGGGACCCTGTGATAACGGCCAGGGAGATAAGGGTTAGTTTAAGGTTAGGGTTAGGGCCAAGATTGGGTTCAGGGTTGAGGTTGGGCTTAGAATTTAATTTAGCGTTAGGGTTAGCGTGTGGCCTAGGATTAGTGTTAAAGTTAGGTTCGGGAAACGGTGGTATATGCCTCATCTGGGATTTCGCACAAGATCACCTGTATTACCGAGCTGGTCATATTCCCGTGCCTTATCCATATTATAGTGGAGACGGTCGTGACGCTTGGCTGGGAAATTCGAAACTTAATCCTTCCAAAAGAGTTACGTGCTTAAAGCACGAGTAAGCTGACAACAAATTAAAGGCCAGTCGATCTCCCTGTACTTGAAACTATGCCAGTTTGGAAGCCTTCGTCTAGTCACATAAAATCCCGAGACGTATGCAGTCGTTTTGTCATCGGAGGGGGATCTCTGCATTTTGGCAGTCATTTACACAAGATCCCCCGTTTCTGGTGGTCTAAACCTGTTACGATGGTGAACCCTACTTGTTTGCCAAAATCCGTGCGCCTCCTACCCTCCCTCTAGCCTTTTTAGGGACGCAGCGAATGTCGTGCGGAATATGTAGCGTAAAATAAGAGTGCGAGGCTCATCGTCACTCTGTGCTTTCGTGCGTAGGTTTGGACATGCTGTCTTAACTAACAGACAAACGTTGGTCTAAATTGTACTTTTCAAGCTGCTCGAATTCTTAAAGGAGTGAGTTGCCATTTTGTTGAACGTCCTTTGTCAGCTGTCGGGATAATTATGTCTTTGTTTTCTTTTAGGCCTTTTAGTTCTCGCCGTTCCGCATTGCTAAGAGTTTCGCACCTCTTGTGTCGCATTAGCAACGAGGAGGTTTGGTGACGGATCAAATCGTTCGTATCTTGCGATGCCTTTGTTAATAGAAGAACAGATTCGAAGGCGGCAATAAATTCTGTGGGTGCGACATCTCCTGTGTTAAAGGTGGCTCCACGTTCCAGGACTGCAAGTTGTGTGTTCGTAAGGGGTTCAGATGAAAGGTTGTGGACAAGGACGCCTGATGAGTTGTTGGAGCTTGGTACTCAAGGTTTTGCCAATTTTATAGATAATTCCTTGTCTTTTTTGACACGTACTTTCTGAGCATGTCTGAGAATGGTCAGCTCTATATCTTCCGATTCTTCACCGACAGCTGTCCAGAGATAACACTTAGATTGGTCCATCTCTAAGTTGTAGCATTCTAGTCTTTGATGGCAATCGCACCGCATATGCCGCACCCATAGAATTTATTGCCGCCTTCGAATCTGTTCTTCTATTAACAAAGGAATCGCAAGAGACGAACGATTTGATCCGTCACCAAACCTCCTTGCTACTTATGCGACATAAGAGGTGCGAAACTATTAGCAATGTGGAACGGCGAGCACTAAAAAGCCTAAGAGCAAACAAGAACGTAATTATCCTGCCAGCCGACAAACGACTTCATCCGTTGTGCTGGGCAAATCGGATTACCAGAACAAGGTACAGTACTTATTCGAAGACCAGCATTCTTACAAATAATGTCATGTCAGCGAAATGAAAAATCTAATCACTCGGATAAACAAACCGTAAGAAATCTCAGGGTCATGGGGGCGATTACGCCCAACGACTGGTTCTCCATTATACCCACTGACACGGCCACGGCTCGTTTTTACGGTCTGCCGAAGGTACACAAAGCAAATGGCACACTCAGGCCAACCGTATCCCTCCGTGGCACATCGACGTACGGTTTGGCGAAATGGGTGTTCGATCGTCTTAAGTTTTTGGCCGAAGGCTCACCAACAACAGTAGCATCTGCGTATCAATTTCTCGAACGCATAAAACATCTGAAGTTAGAGCCAGACGAATCCATGGTATCCTTTCATGTCGTTTCGTTCTGCACATCCATTCCACAGCAACCAGTGATAGGCGTTGTGGACCAACTACTGGCAGAGCGTTACGAGGAGATAGACAAGCCCCTGAAGTCTGAACATCTGCTGGAGCTTCTGCGATACTGCTATAACACCTATTTCACCTTTGGTGAACCAATGTACAAA